TAAAATTGGTGATGTGTTGGAATAGGTAATTTAGAATCTAGTACAATGGACCCCAAGCTTTCTTGCACGGTTAAGTCCAATTATCAAAATTTTCTTTAATTGCTATGTTACTTGTGTGTGATTAGACATTTAATACAAAACATTTCGAAAAGTAATACAGATCTAGAGGAGCAGCACTAATTAAATTAATTAGAGCATTAATTAAAACAATGGTCAATTTGCCTATATGATTATTTCCCTTCTGTGTAAAATTGTAGCTTTTCTTCTTTTAAGATTAATAGCTCATTCAAATTCAGATCAAGAAAGTAGAGGCCATAGGATGGAGTAGGGGACAGAGCTGGCAAATTTGGTGGCAGGATGGGTGCCTGAGTGTGATTGCATTCATAACCACACACAGTTATGGCTGGTGTGGAATAGTGCTGGATGGCCTCAGCAGAAGAGAAAGGTGAGAATGCTGTCCTGCTTGAGTATGTTCATAAGTCTGAAAACTTTGTATATAAAGCAAAAGGCAAGGGTATGTCAGATTAATCAAATTCAATGTCCTTTTTTCCATTTATTAAAGAAAAATTGGTCGAATACTAATAGGCAGAGTAAAAGAATGGATTTTTGCAAATGTGGGAAGAAGTGCTGGTACTTATACTTTAAAAAGAAAAAGACACAATACCAGTGATTGAATTATAGTAACATCAGGCTTCTTCTGGCAGACTCAGGGTAAAGAAAAAAATATTTTTAATATCAGACTCTATATTCAGTTATATATGCACTGTGTAAAATAAAGTCATTCCATTTAACATGATCATACCAGTTCAAACTTCAGTGGTAGTCTCGTGTCTGTTCTTCTCTTCCAGGAAACAGAAAATAACACTCACTTAACTGCAAAAGTTAGTTTTTTCATGAAAAATTGTTTGTAGAGATGTGACTTTTCTTACTCAATTTTCAAGTGGTTTTTCGGTGAATTCTTAAATTCTAACTTGTGATCTTTAAATAGGCTAAATTGCCTATTGCAAGATTCTGTCTGTTGTATTCTCTCCCCAAACCCCTCACATTTCTGGGTAATACATGAAGGTGGCATACCTTGGGCAAGAGTTGGATAGAGAATTTGTTACAGAAACCACCTTAAAACCTTTTTTTGTATTCCCCATTGAGTCTGTACATCCAAAAGCATTCTTGCCTTCATTGAACCAGATTGTATCTGAAGACACCTGCATCTGACTCGATTGTAGATGTTATTTCTGTAAGATATAAACCTAATTTAAGTTTTTTCTCTCCTATTGCAATATTGCTTAGGGGAGGACTTTATGGTAGTAAAAATAGAATTGAAAGCTTCTAGTAACAATCAGAGCAAATATTTTAAAGCATACTGGGCAGCTCTTAAAATGTTACTTCACTTTATCTACTGTGTGATGGCAAACATGTTTTGAAGAGACTTTGCAAGTCTTAAAGTTTATATCTTTGCTTTTGTCTGATTTTTTTTTTTATACTTGTTTTAGACAAATGATAGTGCCAAATTTTAAATTACTTGTAGATTGTAACATTATATGCCTTTTTTCACAAACTGGTCATTTGTGGCATTTGAAGTTGTTTCTCATTTGATTTCACAACAGTTTGAGGTTTATGGTTTCATAGGTTTTGCTGCAGTGCTCATCTGCTATTGTGTTAGAAGAACCTGAAAAGTTAAGTTCAGAAAAGGCTTTTAAGTAAGACAATAAGGCTTTACTTAGATATTTTCTTGTGTTGCAAAGTGAGGTTTTCTGTACACAAAGATCTGAATTATTTTGAGAAGCTTACTGCTTTCTTTGTTAGGTAGTTTTTATAACTTCACCAAACAGCAGACGATGGAAAGTGGTCAAGAAATCAGTGAATTTGTAGTGAATGAGTTTGGTTTTTTGGAATGTGAAATGTGTGTGAGACTGGAACTTACACAGATTTTAACTAGATTAATGCTGGAAAAAGAGTAAAACTTATAAAGAATCATAGAATAGTTTGGGTTGGAAGGGACCTTCAAAGGTCATCTAGTCCAACCCCCCTTCAAGAAGGAGGGACATCTTCAACTAGATCAGGTTGCTCAGAACCACATCCAGCCTGGCCTTGGATGTCTCTAGGGATGGGGCAGCCACCAACTTTCTGGGCAACCTGTGCCAGTGTTTTACCACCCTCATTGTAGAAAATTTTTTCCTCACATCCAGCCTGAATCTTCTCTCTTTTAGTTTAAAACCATCACCCCACATCCTATTGCAACAGGCCCTGCTACAAGGTCTCTCCCCTTCAAATCCTGGAAGGCTGCTAGAAGGTCTCCCCAGAGTCTTCTTCAGGCTGAACAATCCCAACTCTCTCAGCCTTTCCTCACAGGAGAGGTGCCCCATCCCTCAGTGATAGTATTTGTGGCCCTCCTCTGGACCCTCTCCAACAGGTCTATATCTTTCCTGTACAGAGGACTTAATAAAGTTTAAATCTATTTATTTGTTCAACAGCCTGCATTGTTTTGCTTTTTTACTGTGTTTTATCCCAAATTTCACCATTTTTAATGCAGTTTAGCCTTGTCTGGTGGTGTTTCCTAGTGCATTCTAAACATGCTCGAAACAAAACACATCATAGAATCATAGAAGAGTTAAGGTTGGAAAGTACCTTAAGATCTCTAGTTCCAACCCCCCTGCCATGGGCAAGGGGATGTCAAGGGAATACTGCCACATAACTGATATAATCAGTGCCTGGACAGGCTACTTTAAAATGATTTAGTATTGTAAAATCACAGTGATGTTTAGTATCGCATCTTTCTGAACCAGGCCTTCTGCTTCAGAAATGCTGTTTTCATTACAATCTGGTGGGATATCCTTTATAGTGAGGAAAAGTTAGCATTTCTTTTCAATATGGTTTTGGTTCAGAAAGCAGTTTGAAGCTGTTTTCTGACTTCTTTATTATGTGTTTAAAATTTCAGAAAGAAATTGTATGTTGCAAGTTCAAGGACAAAGTTGTGTACAGAGCAATTTGGAAGAGATAGCAACTCGTAGTAGTTGATGACTCTTGAGCAGTAGTAACAGGTTGTGGTAGTAGAATAGATACAAGACCAGGTGTTATACTGGCAGATAGATGGTGAATGTGTGTGCTCCATTGGTGAGTGTCTCTGAGGTACGGCTGCCATTGGTGAGTAAAGGAGAAATTTGGTTGAGACATAGCCCTGCCTTTGCTATTTGTTTGCTTAGGGTAGTTACAAGCTAAGACTAGGAGTAATTTGTTCACAGACTCATTATTACTGTTGATGTAATTGTATTTTAAGTCCAGACTGTTTGCCATGTGAATTAGAATGCTGTTGTCATAGATGTTGTTAAAGTTGTCTTTGTAACCTTAATCTTTGATGTTTTTGAAGCAATGTAGGGGAACTAAGCATCCAAAAGCCTGTGGTGATCTTCTAATGACTTCCTCCTCTTAACTTTCCAAAGGACTTTTACTTACAGAATTCATACACTTAAGAGTATATTGTGTAGAAACTGAAATATCAGGGCTTATTGAGAAGAAAATCTGATAAATTGACTATGAAGAATCCCACTTACTGAGTACTTCTTAGTAGTATTCCTTCTTTACCAAAGATTTGTTGGCAGTACTTCTGGAGGCTTACTCCAGGCTTGATCTGTGTGAGTAAGAGAGAAAAACTGAACTTGAGAAGAAGAAATAAGTCAAGACTTAAGTATCTTAGGTTTGTTAATTCTTATTGTGTTGCATCATTCAGAAGCACAAATGTAAGGCTCCCCTCCTTTTTTTTTTTTTTTTTTTTTTTTAAACCTATTCAGTAAAATGTATACTCAAGCAATGTTTTTATACTACTTTGGTTACAAGAGTTGTGGGTGCTAATGATTTTTTTCTCTGTTTTACACTGGTTTTCATGAGTAACTCCTAAAGAATGATTACCTAATAAAGCGGTATGTATTAGCAGACCAGTATTTGAATCACAAGGAAGTTTTGAGGTCTTTCAGAGATTCAGTAGCATGTTCATTGGTATGCTGCAAATAAAAGTTCAGTAGTCAAGTACTGGAGAAAGAATGAGGATTACTTATGATCTTAGTTTGATCTGGTGTTTCATCCTGATAGTAATATTCTGACATGTACTAGGGTAGCAGCAAAAAGGGTTAGCAGCAAAAAGGGTTGAGGCAGATCAGAGAGAAGGAGATGGATACTTTTAGGAAAGAGAAGTAACAGAAGTGGTTGGGGGTTTTTTTTGTTTGTTTGTTTGTTTTTTTTTTTTTTAATATGTAATAAAATATGAGGATCCCTGAACCAATTTTGCATCTTAAAGACATTCTGGACAAAAATATATAAAATGTAGGTATCACTGGACTTCATAAAAGGCAGACTGGCAACAGTTCGATCTGGGTAGAAATACTGTAGGGCTGAGTTTAGAGATACCCCTTTATATGGAAGTGTGAAGTTGATAATTATATGTAGGAAGAACATCTAGTACTGCCTCAAAAGCAGAGCATTTACTGTATGTGTTGATGCTAACTCAAAGGAAAAAAACACACTTTCTGGTTCTTGACAGGACATCAGAGTTCTGAAGTTTTTCAACTTGCATACGGATGTTATAAATAAAAGTCCGTCAGGAAAAAATGCTTTACTAAAAGTTATCTCTCATTTTTTAAAGTGCTGTCTAATTACAAAGACTTAACTTGAATCTCCTGAATTCACAAATTGAGAATAGGAATTAAAACTGGTATTATTTCATGCTAAAAAGGGAAATGGTTTTTTGAACGTAACGTTTTTCAAATTCTGATATGCTGTATTGGCAGTCTTGCAAAACTGTACTTGCCTACTGTGATTGGGGGATCATTAATTGCCCACAGTTAAAGTCCATGTTGGTAGGAGATGCTTATAATGGTTAGCAGATCAGACAGAAAAACATCTGCCATTTTGCAAAGCTGATGAATATAGGTGTGTTTACATGAATTAATTGGTACTGTAGGAAATGGTAGCATGCCAGTAGCTAACTCATGTGTCTTCTTCTATTTAAGGTATCTAGTGGATAGTCGCTGGTTCAAACAGTGGAAAAAATATGTTGGCTTTGACAGCTGGGACAAATACCAGATGGGAGATCAGAATGTGTACCCTGGTCCTATTGATAATTCTGGACTTCTCAAAGGTAACTACTTCCAATTGTGTAATAAACCAATACTAACATTCCATGGAAATTTGTCACAGATTATTCATCATTTGTATTTGACAGTGTAAAGGAGTCTCGGTATTTATAAAAGTGAAACTTCTTGTTTGTTTGAGACCATGACAAGGGAACTGGAATAGATTTCCCTAACAAATCACAATTTCATAAATGAAATTATTGGAACTTCTTTGCAATGGTAACAATATTTAATAATGTACAAAGTACTGGCTTATAATGATGTTTTGGGATATGTTGGGAGTTGAAATTTAGTTAAGTAGCTAGCCCGAGTTCAGTAAGCATGGTTTTGGGTTGTTTGGGTTGGTGATTTTTTGTTTTGTTTTTTTTTGCCTTTTTTTTCTTTTTATCTTAAATAGATTGGTTGATTTAAAATAACATTTTTAAGTTGAATTCTAAAATTTCTTTTTGTAAATGAGCTCCAAGTCCTTACTTTGATTCTGGAACATTTGAAGAAGTAGTAGTATGCAGTTCAGTGATACTATAAAGTGGTATGAAATGATAGAGGACAATTTTCTAATTTTATGGTCTTCTAAGTATGGTTAAACTCTGTCCCTGATATGATTACTCAGGTCAGACTGGCTTTTGCTGCACTGTAGGCAGATCTGTAGGCAGAGGTCTCAGAATACTTTCCCAGATATTTTAATCTTTAGGTCAAATTGTATATTTAATGTCCAATATTGAAATACTATGGAGCTATTAATATTTAGTCTGCAAAATCCAGTAGATACAAAATCTAGCAGATAATTGGTTTCCTTCTTTGCAGTTACAGGTAAGATAATAGTACCACATAATTTGTTTGCACATAGTAATATAAATTTTTATAGCTTCGTGGGGTTTATGATGAACTCTGACTTTCTTCATTCAAAACTTCTCAACTGTAATTAATATCTCACTATTTTACAAGCTAAATGTTAAAGATAATTACCTCTTTCATAGGACGTATCATACCATGTTGCACTAGTTGTCAGAGTGAGTATGCATGTCTGACAGTGACTAGTATCAGTGCCTTAAAGAAGGTGCTGTATTGTTGTGTGCATGTTCTCTTCTATCCACAAACTTAAAGATCTTTTTGCTCCAGGTGAGTGATGTGTTTTGTTTTCTGAAATGTGAGGATCTAGATATTTTGTACATTTTTGCAGTAAACCTTGCAGTGGGGCAGGCATGTTCAGGTAAGCCTTTTCAGTTGCAATCAGATGTATTAAGAAACTTTTTATCCTCACTGAGGCAGCATCAGCTTATTCTTTGTTGTGTCTACCCATGTTAAAAAAAAAAAAAAAAAAAAAAAGTGATTTCTAGAAGTGTAAAGCACTGTGTTAGTTGATCTCTATTATTTATATCTTGAGCTATATACATATTCAGATTATGTTTGAAGTTACTGTGGATATGGAGCCTAATACATTAGGGTTAAGTCTAAAGTAATTTTAGACATTTTGCTAAAAGCTGCTGAAAACCTGTGTGCTATCATTTTGACACTGCTTGTTAATATCCCTTTCAAAACAAAGACAAGGTCAGGGTTTATGAACTTTACTTTTGGCTCATTCATGGTTTTAAAATGATGGATCTGCATTGGCAGTGATACAGTGCATCCAGCTACTGTCTGACATCTATTCCTGTGTGAAGGCAGTTTTAAAATTAAGGTCATATGTGTTCAGCAAATAGTAGCTGTCTCCTTCAACTGCAAAGCAGTAGTCCTCTATACTGTTGCCTATGTAACATAAATTGAACCTGAAAATACTTGGGTTTTAATCTTGTCTTTGACATGTAGTATGCACTAGTTGCTCTCATACTGCTCTCCTTCAGTGTTAAGCCTGAAAATCTGCTTCTGATTTAAAGAATAAAATTGGCATGCTTTCTCAGATATTCTGCAGTGTAATAGAGAGAGATAAGGAAAACTATTGTTAAATCCAAGAAATACTGATTCCAGGAAACTGTATTAGTATGTTGTGCCTGTATTACCTAAAGGCTGCTGCCTTATTTCCAGAATGTTTAGATGAATTGAGAGCAGTGAAAAGTAACAGGTAGAGACTTTTAGTTAACCTCAACGTATGTAAAAAAAGTTGTTAAATATAGTAGAATACAGACATGCCACCTTCAAAAGAAGAGGTATATAGTCAACTTTAGATTAGCAAAGCAAGCACAAGGAAGTAGTTAGAATAGCTGATTGTTCAACAGTGTTGAATATGAGAGACTGAGTCGGGGGACTTCTTTAATGGAATAAAGTTCCGAAAAAAATTACACTAGGAGAAATGTTGGCGTTTTAGAAAGATCAAATGGAATCCAGATTAGATCTTCTCTCTATGAACTGTAGCAATGTCAGCTCAGTACAGAAATACAGTATGAACCTTTAAAGAGATGCCTGAAGATGTGTTTGTGAACTTTTCCCCACCCTTTGCTTCCAGTTATAATGGGTGCTTGCTGGCCTGTTGCTGGGTACTTCCAAATGGAAAGACAGCAGCCCTAATTGTCTGAGGCTCAGAGTGGCTCAGATCTGGAATTACATTTTACACGTATAAGGTAGTTGCTATTTTACTGCTGTAATAAGGAGTGAACAGAAACTAAAAGCATGCTACTTAATAAAGAGGTTGCCAAGATGTACTTCTTTCAATTGCTACATCTTGCCGTCCCTGTGAAGAATTTTATAAGGACTGTGTTTCCAGAGCACGTGGGATCCTTTAAGTAGGAGGGCTGTACCATGTTATTTTCCCAGCCTGACATGGAGTGAATGACTTCAAACTTTGTCTTTGATCTACTGTAACTACCCATTTCTGCATTTTCAGTGAAGGGTGCAACTGTAGCATGAAATGGAAGTTTCCATGGTGATGTGGGATTATGTGCGAAGTGGGTGGAGAAATGGATTGGTTTCTCTGAGTCTGTGATGGTGTGTGATGACAAGTTAGGCACTTAGCATGAGGATATGGAGTTGTCACTTGGGTTCCTGAGTGTAGGAATACTACCTTATAATAGGTGTGCTATGCAGGAAATGGGTAGTTTGCCTAAATAGTTTCAGGAAAGTTTTGCTTTGAATACCATAATACCGATAACATAACTGACTCAGAAAATATTTTTTTTTTTTTGCTATGTTATATTAAAAACTCAAATAACAGAATTACAGTATTCAAGTGAAAATATCTTTCTCTTTTAGATGGTGATTCTCAGTCTCTCAAGGAACATCTCATTGATGAGCTGGACTACATCCTTTTGCCAACTGAAGGCTGGAATAGGCTAGTTAGCTGGTACACGCTGATGGAAGGTCAAGAGCCAATAGCACGCAAGGTACCCTTAAATAACCTACTGGGTTGAACATGATTCAGATTAAGTCCTGTAAATATGGAGGAGTTGCGCATGAATTTATTAGAAAATTGTAAGTCCTGGCCTATGATAATCATATAGACAACTCCTGCTTTAGTTGCTTGTATATATTTAATTTTTGTTAGTGTTGAGAAACAAGGATGAAAAGGATATAACTTTTTTTTTTTCTTCTTCTGGAAGTAAATCCTCTTAATATTTCAAGAAGAACTTGCATTAGAAGCTTGTAAGTCAATTAGTGCAAATGATTTTGTAGTTAGGTATAAAACCATAAAACTGTATTGACTATATTAATGAAGAGCCTAGCTCTAATGATGTTAACTCTGGCAGAGTAATTGGTAATTCCTTTTCTGATAAGCACAGTCTTACGTGTTCAACAGCTTGCTAAGGGAATTTTTTTTTTAAGCAAAAAGCTTACTTCAACACAAGTAGTAATCCATGGTATGGTGGATACTGTGGTCCTCTATCAGTATGAGATACTTAAAAATTAACATTTTTAAGTTAATTTTTGTTTGCTTCAGGACATACCATCCTTCTTATTAAGGTGATATGACATTTTACTAGTTTATTGATCGTACAATATTTTTGATAGACAAGTAGATCATACAGTATTTTTGATAAGACAAGTGCAAGGTCCTACGCCTGGGTCAGCACAACCCCAGGCACAGCTACAGGCTGGACAGAGAAGAGATTCAAAGTAGCCCTGTGGAGAAGGACTTGGGGTGTTGGTTGGTGACATGAGCCGGCTTCAGTGTGCGCTTGCAGCCCAGAAACCAACAGTATCCTGGGCTGTATCAAAAGAAGCATGACCAGCAGGTCAAAGGAGGTGATCCTGCCCCTCTGCTCTTGTGAGGCCTCACTTGGAGTATTGTGTCCAGTTCAGGTGTCCTCAACATAAAAAGGACATGTTGCTGCTGGAGCAAGTTCAGAGGAGCCCACGAGGATGATAAGAGGACTGGAGCACCTCCTGTATGAAGACAGGCTGAGAAAGTTGGGGCTGTTCAGCCTGGAGAAGAGAAGGCTGTGTGGAGACCTCATAGCAGCCTTCCAATATCTGAAGGGGGCCTACAAGGATGCTGGGGAGGGACTCTTCATTAGGGACTCTAGTGGTAGGACAAGGGGTGATGGCTTTAAACTTGAACAGGGGAAGTTCGAGTTAGCTATAAGGAAGAAGTTCTTTACAGTGAGGGTGGTGAGGCACTGGAATGGGTTGCCCAAGGAAGCTGTGAATGCTCCGTCCCTGGCAGTGTTCAAGGCCAGGCTGGATAGAGCCTTGGGCGACATAGTTTAGTGTGTGGTGTCCCTGCTCATGGCAGGGGGGGTGGAACTAGATGATCTTTAGGGGCTTTCTCACCCTAACTATCCTATGATTCTATGCTTCTATGATTCTATGATAGTATTATTTCTTAAGATTTTCAGTCTAGGGACTACAGTTACATCCTCACTGTAGTGAATTATTTTAGTTTTAAAATACATTTTGTTATGTTTGCCACTTCTAAATTTACCATTGGGGTGATTCTGTTTGTTTGTTTCTTTGTTTGTTTGTTTTAATTCCTGAAGAACTGCTGAAGTAATATTATGATTAGAATTTAGTTTGATATGACTTCTGGTGTAATGTAGCCTTTTCTTCTACGGCATGATTATGGTCTAGCTAGGTGCATGCTGGCCTCTTGAAGTCCATTCTCTTCAAACAAATGCCAGGTTTAGCTATAGAAGAAATTTGCTGTCTTTAAGATTCATTTGGTCAGCAATAGAGGTAGTTTGTTGGGGGTTTGTTTTAACATTCTTCTTAACACAATAATTATTTTTTTAAGAGACATCCCTGAAATGTCTCTTTTTCTTTAGTTCTTTAAGAGCCGAAATCCTTTAAAATGGCTCTTCTTCTTTAAAGATGTATCTGTTAACAACTTGTTACTGTTTTTTCTAAAGATGGATTTCAGCAAACTGAATGCTCTTCCATCATCACGGTAAAGTAAAAGTTCTGTCATTTTTTCACTTTGGGGGTGAAATATAGGGAGAGAGAAGGGAAATTACAGTAACTTGCCTTCTATGTGGAAGGAATGAACTGGAAAAATACAGGGAGTGTAATGAGTGGCTGTGTAAACTGGCATGGCTTCATTGTTTTCTGCTATGAAACAATGAAGTAGTTTCATACTACTTCAGTATGAACAGTAGGTCTGAGAGATGCATATTCCAGTTCAGAATTTTTCTTTCTGATACTTTCGTCATTTGTTCATGAATCTTTCTCCTGTCTGCTTTAGTGTTTTTTTCGTAGAGGTGGGATGACACTTTTCTTTCATTCCTTTTGTTACATCAACTTTTTTTGAAATGTGGATCCAAATTTTAAATGGATTTATTGTTTTACTTGACCCATGTCAAATGACATTACAACTTCATGAAATAGAATGTGGCAATACTACCACTAGAGCATCAGTTTTATCCTCAGAAATTCCTTAGCCATAGCACTCAGTTTTGTTGACAGCAGCTATTTTGTTGTTACTGTAGAAGGTGAAAACTCTACTAAGCTGCTTAAATGCAGATGCATTTTTATTTAAGTATCATGCTTGACAGTAATTAAAGCTAAGGCAAACTACTGAGTAGCAATGAAATCATTCACTGATATATTTCTTTTTCCTGTGACACATGAATACAAGTTATATTTGTACAGCAGATCTCTCCCAGCAATTAGCTGGTGGCTTTTTTTTTTTTTATTATTACCATATTTGTCAGATGTATCACATATCAGGGCAATGGTTATTTTTGGAACAGTCTACATGACTAAGTACTGCAGTTACACTTTGGAAGATCAAAGGGAAAAACATTTAAGAGGTGACCCTGAATATTTTTCTACGCTTTACTTTTATATAAAGAAAAAAAAATCCTTTATACTTAATTATTTTTTAATGTGTTACAGAAATGAACATGAAATAAAAACCTGTAATGAGTAGGTGAAATTTCAAATTAATGTGTTAGCATAATATAAGTGGAGTATTTGTAGGTTTTATTTAAAAATGTGATATCCAGATTTTATTAGCATGTATTCTTGTTTTTATATGTATTCTTTAACTGTGAAAACTAGTTCTTCATGTCTTGAGGAAGTGGCATACAATGAATATATTTTGAAATAAAAATAAATTTTGGTGTTTTTTATTTTTTGAGTATCTTATCTTTTGGGTAAGTTATGTTTTCCACTGTTCTTAAAACATTGACAGTCATGGTGGAGGTGTTATACACAGGTAAGACAACGTAATCATGGAAAAAAAGTACTTTTTAGTTTGCTGCATTTCTAAAAAGTTATGGGATAATTTTAGTTCTAATTTTTGAAATTTATTAAGTTTCTTACATTCCCAGAGCTTCAATTTCTTGAAGAGTTCTCAAAAGTATTTTGAAGTGTGTATATAAAAACACATTTGAACTGATACCTGATCCCAATCTGTTTTTCAGGTCGTTGAACAGGGTATGTTTGTAAAGCACTGCAAAGTAGAAGTATATCTAACAGAATTAAAGCTTTGTGAAAATGGAAATATGAACAATGTTGTCACACGAAGATTTAGTAAAGCTGATACAATAGGTATGCGAACTTTTTTTTAAAATATGTGATTGTTACTTGTTTAAATAATACTTGGTAGCAAGTTCTGAATAAATAAGTCTCTAGGTGAAATGGTAGACAGGTATTGTAACCGTTAAAAAGCATGGGACTAGCTTTGTTTGGGTTAAAATTTAAAGTGAAATAGTTTGGAATATTTAGGATTTTTAATGCAATTTTTTTTAAAAATACATAGTTGTGCAGTTTTATCTAGGCATCTGTGTTAATGGTAGAAGTTTGTGTTTTCCAAGAGGTAAAGTGTGATATTTATTTATTTTACTGGCTTCCACAGTAGTTTTTCTTGTCTTTTAGTGTGTAAGAAGCACAATTGTTTTCTTTTATGTGTTTCTATTCATGTCTTTCATTAGCCAAACCTCTTTGGTCATATAATAGGAGAAAGGTATAATACAAAACACAAGAATTAATTGAATTTATAAATTAATGGCGAACAGTGACCTACAAAGGCAGTATTCTTTGGGCTGTGCAGTGGTAGGCCAGGCACAATCTTTTACAGTAACAGAGTCCTGTATTAAACCTTTAACTTACCTTTATTTGTAGTTATTGTGGCTGCTTTTTGAGTCATTGTTTGAAACCATATTTTGGTAACATTTGTCTCTGAAAGTAACAGTCAGAACATATGGAAAGATATTACTGATGATATGAGCTCAACTTTTGGTGTATTTGTGCATGTGTATCCAAGAGAAGAGTATTTCAATCAACTGTATTTGTGCAGTTAGAACCGTACTTTATGTCCTTGGCACTTTATGCCTAGCCATTACTCTGTTTACGTTCTTTGTTTACGCTCTTTGTTTATGTTCATGCAGCTGGCTTTTTTTGGAGGAGCCATCTGATTTTTAACAATATAGGATCTATCTTATATGGGATCCATAACCTTTAACTCTCAATTTGAACTATCTCAAATTGTGGCTGTATAGCTGATGGAGTGAGAGGCATTTTTAAAGGGCAGTTCTTCCCATCTCGTTTAGACATCATCCTAGTACTATTCATCACATACATGGGATGTGAATAACACTACTAGAGGAGAACCCTGTACGCAATATGCCTCAGACCATGCCTGTTTAAATATAGTGTTTTCATTTATACTGGAACAGACACTTTAACTTTAGATCATAAGCTAGCGCACCAGCAGTGGTTCTGGGGGGGAAGAATTGCAGAGTGTGCATTGGTTACATTGATGGAGGTATGTAAAAGAACTTCAGTTTCACAGTCTCAAAAGTACCATAATAGTCAAGTGGAACATGCTCTTCCCAGACTCCTGGACATAATGTGTACTCATCTGTTAGGATTGATGTGTCGTGTCTCATAACAGTTCTGTTAGTGAAGCTGGAATATGTTAAAGATTAACATAATAGATGTTAACTTAGCATTTGCAAAGAATAGGGGATGCAATGCTCAAATAATTAATTATGATATTAATAAGAGAATGAAAAATTCTTTTGTATATACTTATAGTGAAAATCATTGCTAAATCTGTATTTTATTTTCTTTTTAGAAGATTGTTGCTGACTGGCTTCATTCTTACATTCAAATACAGTTATTTGAAATCACTGGTTCAGAATTGATTCAGACAGTACATGATTTTGGGTTTTTTTTTTTTAAAGTCAATAAATCAAGTAACAGCCTGTTGCCCTGTTGATAGCACCTACCTTGCCTACGTGCTATCTCTGTTAGAGAAACATGATCCAGTCTAACTCTTGGTTTCATAATAAAATGCATGCTAGCTAGTATAGAAGGAAATTGTATACGGTTGCCTACAGTATCTACAAATCTTATATTGGCCAGTTGTCACGCATTTCAGAAACCAATGGCTGCATTTTTATAAAGTACTTTTCAAGCTTCAGGTCTCATTGTGACTTTTCATGTTTAACATAGTGGAGGAGGAAATAATTCTTAAGTAAAAGGGAGCAAAGGGAATGTTAGAGGAGCTGACACAGTGGTGTTTTATCCTCAGATTTCAGGGGAATATCTCTCAAAGAGCTTACAGTGCTCACTTTCTAAATTGTGGTTTTAGTGGTCATCAGGAATAAACAGTATATTTCTTGACTCCTCTTTTGGTTTTTGTGTTAGCTGTTATGTGACTTGGCTGCCATGGGGTTTTGTGAGTGTACCAGTTAAAAAAAAAAAAACAACCACCAAACCTAAGATTGCTATGGTATAGCACTGTGCATGTTAGATCAAATTAAAGAACTCTATAGTAAACTGTATTTTTGCATAAGGAGAGTGGAGTTGATTATGAACTACTTACATTTCAATTGTAGACAATAGTTATACTACCTTAAAATTATGTAACACTTTTTTCTGTCAAGTAGTGTACAGTCTGGTAGACCTTCTTATGTTAAATCTTTCAGGGGTATAAAATCTTTCATCATCCTTTTAATGTAAATTTATGCACTTCAGTTTTACAAAATCGTCTTTCATTTCTGTGAGCATGTAGATTAAACTTTGCACATGTAGATTTTGGTTGGTGCTAATTGCACTAGGATATGGGTAGTAGAAGAGTGAAAACCAAGAATGGTTCAATTTAGGGAGAGGAACTGTTCCCTACCCACCCACACTCCTGTGTTACCACACTCTGAGAATTTAGTAGATGGGTACCTAGGTGCCTCCTGTACCTGTTATTATCATATTGTCAGCTTATTGTTATTTGGTCTGCTTTGCTACAAGATACAGGAGGGAATAAAATAGTCCTCTGGCTGTTTCCATTTTAAAGGCAAGGGAACTAGCAACTTCTTGCTTGAACTACAACATGGTGTAGTTGCATGGCTATTTTTTCATTTTCATTAATGTTTTATTTGTAATATAAGAAAAGAGTAGATGATTCTGATGCTTTATTTTTATTCTGCTTTATGCTCTTTGCGTAGTGAAGTGCTAAACTTGTGCTCTCCCTTTCAATACAGATACAATTGAAAAAGAGATAAGAAAAATCTTCAATATTCCAAGCGAAAAAGAGACCAGATTGTGGAACAAATACATGAGTAACACTTTTGAACCTTTGAATAAACCAGACAGTACCATACAGGATGCTGGTTTATACCAGGGACAGGTACAGTGTAATACTTTTTCTTTTATTTTTTTTTCCTTTTAATATGTTTGGGTTTTGCTCATGAAAGTGTAACCATACCTAATGTAATTTTCCTTCTTTTTAAATGAAAATTGCCTCCTATTAGATTGGTTAGGGATAGAGGACTTTCTAAACAGATTCACCAAAATAAAAGTAAGTTTTGAGTGTTTTTTCAGGATTAAAGATGAGTTTAACTCTCCCAGTGAATTAAAAGTACATGAATGTAATGTTTCTGACTTGGTATTTGGCAAAACCTGAAACTAAAAAAAAAAATAAATTATTCCTAAGATCTGGAATATGGTCCTGTAATGAAACCCAAAATTTCAAGAACTTTTTAGGTACTCTTAGAAGAATAATGTCTTCTACTCAAATTCCACTGCCCAGATTTCAGAATTTAAGAAACAGTGAAAAATTTCCAGGTAGAACTATCGAAATAAAAAAACCTGAAAATCTACTTTTGCATGGGACTGTATCATCACTTTAAAATCCCTTTTGGGAGAATTTCTTACAAGATACTTTTTCTACCTTTTCTGATAAATGTAAAGAACAACCACTGGATGTTAAAGCTACAGAAATATAAACATGAAGTGACTGAACAATTGCATCGTTAGAATAACTTTTCAGATTATTACATTGATTCTTTAGTCTTCAAATAGAGTTGGATATTTTTTCAACATCTGTAGTTCATGCCGTCATGCTACAAATATGAATACATGAAATCTGTTAGTAGTAATTATAGTCAAGATTGTATTAAAGTATTTCCTTTTGCGTTGAAATACTTGACTCTAACCTACTTACAGCCGTATTTATGCTGTGCTTCTGTTTTCTTTTATGGCCTGAATGGTAAGTAAGCAGTGCACCAAAATAACAGCTTGAGCTATTGTGCCCTTTAGCTTCATGCTGCATCCACTTAAACCCTCACACAGGTGATTTTAACAATGCAGACATGCTGCTGGAAGAGCTCGTATCTCCCATTTGCGTCAAAGATGTGACTTGCAAATTGCCCCTATCCCAGTGAAACATTAACCTTGAAGCAAGCATGGTCTAATATAGCCATAGAAAGATCTCTAGGTGACATCTGTACTTTCAGAAAAACAAATATTGTTCAAAACCAAGTTTAACAGTGATTTCTGAAAATGCTAAATGTTGTGATAGGCAGGGTGTGTTTGGTCAGTTGCACTCGCTGGCACACAAGTTTTATTTTTCTTGCTGAGCCTCCTAATCTAGTAAATTATTTTGACTACTAAAGTCCATCTAACCTAATAATTATTTTTTTTACTGTATAATTCTAAACTATGTATGCAGTTGAATAATTCTATGTTTTAAATTTATCGGTTGGTTTCTGAAGTGAGCCTTTTGGGGTTCCACTGAACTTTTTAAGTCTAAATCTTCCTTTTATTTAGTAGTTTCTGAGAGCCAGTGGAGGGAACTATGGTAGGATGTGTCTTACAGCATTCATGACCAAAGACAGCAGACCAGTCTTTTGCAGAGAGAAAGCTAATTTTCAGTGTCACGTCTTAGTGTATTCAGACTGAAAATGTGATTACATTTTCAAGTGGCAGCATGACTTATATATAAGGTTTTGGGCATAAGTACCTATATGAATGTATGTCACTGTGTAGACACATTACAAGCACAGCATGACAGTTGAAACATCAGTGTATAGTTATGCAGAATTAGTTGCATTGGAAATTAAGAGTTAGATTCCATTTAAATACTGAGTTTACTTGCCATTTCAAATGATCTGGCTATGCCAGCTGTCAATCCAGAAAGGCATGTGCTTTTTGTAGGTCCTGTGTCATATCTGCCAGCATAGGGCAGATATCTCAAATACCCAAAGGCGCTTCAAATGGCAGTTGATGCCTGTGTTTAGGACTGCGTGTTCTGTACTCCCTTTTGTACCAGTAACAACTTAACTGAAGTTAATTTCATTAGCCAACTGTCTTACTGGAAAATTAATATTAGATGAATATTTCTGCAAAAAATACTGGAGTAACCAGACAGGTATGACTTTAAGGCTATCAAGGCAGAAAGCAGTTTCATTTGGTTTTCTGGTGCTTTGTTTTTTTTCTACTAATCTGTGTTGTGTGCGATGCAGAATTCCTTTGGGAATATCCCTTCCTTAACAGGGGTGTTGTATGAACATGGGATTTCTATATATTCATAGATGCTGCTTAGACATTGCAGGTTATCTTCTGACCTCCTTTAGAGGTAAGGTCTTGACATTATATCCATAGATTCTAGAGGCATGGAAGTGTTAAGTGGCTTGCTTGAAGTTGCAAGAATTAAGATGTGGGGAGAAAAAAGTGAATGCAGCAAGAGGAAGGTGCAGTGTAATTGAATATTCTTGAACTTTGGGGAATAGTAACTTAAACATCAGTCTTTTCTGTCTCAATCACATGTCAGGAAATCCATTAAAAAGATAGGAACAGAAAGCAATCTATTGATATTTCAGTTTTCTTATTATACTTTTTGTGGTAGGTACTGGTGATAGAACAGAAGAATGAGGATGGATCATGGCCAAGAGGTCCTTCAACTCCTAAGTAAGTTGAGAATTTAAGTCATATAGTTACTCACTATAGCTTGACTATTTTCACGTGTTATTTTGCTAAAAAAAAAAAATCCCAACCAAAAACAAAACCCAAAACCAAACAACAAAAAAAACCCCACACCAAAACCCCTATTTTTAAAAGTGGCATTTTTAAGATTGGCCTTCAGATGTTTTAGCTGAAAACATGCTGAGTAGTGTATTTGTAAATGGTACATACTGTAAAATATGACATGATAATGATGACCTCCTGCATGTACATTGCTTAATTTTGTTGATTTCAGCCAGTGATATACATTATTCTGCTTAAAAATAGTATAAAAATTCATAGTAGAAAACTCTAAAACTTATTTATATTTCTGTTTCAAAGCATAGTATCTTTAATACAGGTATATATATTCAGTATTTTTCTTCTATGTAAATGTTTTCATGGATAGTTTGTCCTTTTATTGTCGGAGCACAATATTTACATATAAACATTATTTAGATTGCAGTGTACATTACCAGCATGTTACTTTTGTTCTTTGTCGGGCTATCACCAGTTAACAGGGTACAATGTGTTTTTTTTCTTTTCTGTTCTGCTTGCTGCCACTATCAATAACACCTTAGTATGGCAAGCGGGTAGAAAGACTCGAGTGCGATTTCTCATAAGCTTTTTTAATGTTGTTTTCAGAATCTATATTATGTTCTATTGGTTTTCAATCAATCATAGTTGGAACTAGTTACTAGTAAACTAACATGATCTCAGTGCAAATAGTTAACTGTGTGTTTTTTCTCTTTGCTAGTTCTTTAGCATATTTTTCATAAAAGGTTCTTTTAAGTTCTTTCTATTCCTTTTGATATTCTGCATTTATGTAATTGAGGTTCATTGTTCTTTTAAAGCATTTTTGCAGTATTACTGCTTGCTATTTGAAGGACAGAGATTCTTTATCTTTGGTGTTTTATCTCAATCACTTTTATTAGAAACACTGGCTTCTATTAAGTTACTTAATGAAGTCTGAGAAAGAATGCGATGCAAAACACTTGTAGTTTAATCTCTGATGTCAAAAAGCATGTAGCAGAAATGTAAACTTGGAGTCAAATTTTAGATGTAGATTTTGAAGGTTAAAAGAATTTAGATAATTCAATGTCATGGATTTTTTTGGAAGTTTTGGTAGGAAAATATTCTTGGTGATGGTACTGCTTTTATTCTGCCAAATTTCCATTCCTCTTGGAATGGTAGGCAATCAGGAGTAGTAAATAAATTAAAGAATGTCTCCTGGAATACTTCTGATCTAGGGACAAGTAAAATGGTAATTGGAAATGCTAGTGTCAGAGGGGGCTGTAAGTAAAGCAGAAAATGAGGATGTATAGTTTTACTGTGAAGCTGGCGTATGTTTTTGAGGTTTGGCAGCTATCAGAAAGACTGACTGAAATTTGACATTCAAATGCATTGTAGTGGCAGATTTGCAAAATTCAGTGGATTCAAATAGGAAACTATCAACATGCAGTACTGGTGACAGGTTTTTACATCTGTTTAAAACTTTATGAAAAAATCTAACAAATATTTAAAGGGGTAGAAATATTAAACTCTTGCTTTTGAGTCTTCTGTGTGAAGTGGATTAGTTTGTCATCACAGTGTACATCCACATACCCTCCTATAGTCCTGTCATTGGTCACACACTCGTCTCACACCAGATACTGCTGAGACTACTTTTTTGTAGTGCTTGTTTTAGAAGAATAGAAATTGCAAACATAAATTCTGGGGCCAGGGAATAAAATGCTGTATTTAGAAAGGTCAAAATACAGAATGTTGGAAAGGAGGAAAGATTTATAATGCTTGAAAGAGGCAGGATCAGCTAAGCTTTTCACAGAATTCCGTTATAGTTGAGGTTGGAAGGCACCTCTGGGGATTGTCTAGTCCAATCTCCTGCT